TATCCATTCGGGTGTTGACCGTTGAAAATAATGAAAAATCCATAAAAATGTGGGAAAGCCTCACTTTTCGATAAGAGGTGATTCGGAGTTGTTGATTAGAAGACATCAACCCGCGGACCTTTGAGATTCGACAATCAGTTTCGAAGATCGTCAAATTTGATCGAAAAGTCCCTAAATTTGATCAAATACATGGTCAAACTGGCGAAAAACCCCAAATTTCGAGGATATTCCGAAAATAGCAGAGGATTCCGGGGAAAGTTCCGAATTTCGGAGTTAATCCCGGGAAATGGCAGCGCTGCCGAAATTAACTTTTAAACGTCAGACCTTTGACGTCGTACAAATGCGTCTGCACAGCGACGCTGGTGAATGACGTGGTATGAGACATTGCGTGACCTAGCTCCTCAACGAACAGCTTCGACAAGGGCGAAACGGGCGGCGGCTTAGAAAAATCCCCGCGTGCTTTAATTCCGCAGAGCAAGGTGAGTGCTCCGAATATCGATACAGATAAAATCTACGGTCGCCTGCCTCATGTGCTTAAAAAAGTATACGCCAGGATATATCCGATTTCAATGTGCCTCTCATAATCTCTGCTTCGTCTGTTGACAATTTATCTCTCGCATTGGATTTGCGAGACTTGCTCGAGTTTCAGCCTCTCCAGGGGTATTGAATCAGTCTTATGGCAGCATTATTACATTTCTCTTGCCACGTCATGATCTACGGATTAACTTAAACCTGCTGATAAACTCCGGCCAAATTAGTGTTTTCTTTTAAAATTTTATGGTGGTGGGGGGGGGGGGGGGAGCTCAAACTCCCCTGAGTAGACCAATGCTCTAACTATTTGGTTTGAAGTTAGATACTGCAATTTTGGGTTAAAATTGATCAATTAAAAGACTATTTGGACTGAGTTGAGCAGAAAGGAACCAACCCACATTTTGGAAAAAATTGAATTATGAGTGGTTTTGAACTCAACCACTGCTCTACTATCCATCGCCAAAAATTCAAAGTTTTTGTTGGAGCAAATTTTGCAGAAATTTAACTTGAAGTTTATCGTTTGCATTAAGTCTTATGCAGGAGCCAAACTTTAAACCTCTTTTTCTCGGTTCGATCCCGATGTGGCTTGGTTCCTTTCTGTTTAACTCCGTCCATTTTATGAATTAACGCTTGATCAAGTAACTTCTTTCAGTTGGCGTTCGTTTCAAAGAATTTGAAAATCCGGCACAGATGGAAATTCAAAATGCAAAGCGAATCGAATTAACCGATGAAAATGAAAACATATTTGTTTCAAAAATTGCATCGGATAGGCTATAACAAACTTTCCTGCTCTCTTACCGAGAAGTTTTCAGATAAAATCACCAGCAACCCAAAGGGTGCGGTGGCGTTTGCGGATTCTCATATTTTGACGGTGGCGATTGCGGACAGGCGGAACAGGGCCGGTGGACTTTGCGGACCAGAGAATTTCGGCGGTGGCGATTGCGGACGGAGGGGTAGGCACCTTCATATGCTGCCCCCCCACCCCTGCGCTGTATATTAAAGAGAAAAATTACCGGAGAGGCTCTGGATTCCTTTTCGTGGATGTAGAATGAAAAAAATATTAGTATTATATTATATTAGTATAAAAACATATGAGCAGTGAACATACAGTAAATTTTTAAAAAAAAGGCATATCAGAAATCGCAAGAAACTGAAAAATCGTCAGTTTCAGTCCATTTTTAGGATGAAAAACATGTTGTAAATTCTAGTCCAAAATTACTGAAAGTCAAAAAATTAAAATGTGTTTCCATTTTTCGTATGTAATTTGTTAACTTTCAGTAATTTTGGATTAGAATTTACAACATGTTTATCATCCTAAAAATGGACTGAAACTGACGATTTTTCAGTTTCTTGCGATTTCTGAAATGCCTTTTTTTTAAAAAAATTTACTGTATGTTCACTGCTCATATTTTTTTATACTAATATAACACTAATGTTTAATACTAATATTTTTTTCATTCTACATCCACGAAAAGAAATCCAGAGCCTCTCCGGTAATTTTTCTCTTTAATATACAGCGCAGGGGTGGGGGGCAGCATACGAAGGTGCCTACCCCTCCGTCCGCAATCGCCACCGCCGAAATTCTCTGGTCCGCAAAGTCCACCGGCCCTGTTCCGCCTGTCCGCAATCGCCACTGTCAAAAAATGAGAATCCGCAAACGCCACCCGATTCTTAGAATCCGCAAACGTACGTCCGCAAACGCCACCGCACCAACCCAAAGAAAGTTGGATTACATTTTGCAATGAGGAACCACTAGCTCTGGCTCTCTCGTAAAATCACCTTTCTGCAAAGGGCATATATATTGCCTCTGAGATAAGCCAGAAATATAGTGGTTTCCTTTTGCAAATTGTGGTCCAATTTATTGCTGATCGTAAAGCACGTTAATACTTGTTTAGTCCGGCATTTGACCGTAAATTTTATCCTTTTTTTGAGGGAACCTATCTTCGAATTGAGGGACACAAAAAGTCGAATACAATACACGAGGACAAAAACGTGTTGACACTTTCTGAGCCACTATAGCGGCGACCATTGGCTTCGGATTTAACTTTTTTACGTGGGGAAAATTAGGAGAGCGTGCCGCTTATACTCTTACGAACTGAGAAAACACGTTGTATGCACATACGCGCGATGTCGAAGTTATTTCTACTAAAGGATCCAAATTTTCTGAAAAATCGTTAATTTTTCTCTGTGGAAGTTTCAGTCGCTTTTTCCGATTGTACCTGAAAATTTTAGGTAAAAATATGCATAACTGTCAGCAAAATTAAATTTTCCATCGGGAGAAATTCGGCAACGTTCGAATATTTTACGGCGTTTTCCCATTGCATTGCAGTATTCTTGAGAGCGCTAGGCTAGCTCTTTTACCCGGATGAAGAAGCTTAAATGAAGAAAACGAGAGACTCTGCATGGAGCCTCCAAAAACTAATGAGAACAATGAATGTTTTCAAGGAAGAGAACGCCAAATTAGGGAATAATGAAAACTAAAGTAGGTACTTTTTATTGCATTCGAGTAATTACCATATACTTTCGAATTAATTTGGGTTCAATAAAATTTAATTACCTGCCGTCGGTCGTTTTGCGGTTCGGCCCGGTTCAGCACTCGCCTGCTTGAGCATTTCAACGCATGTAGGGCCCAATTTTCATGAATATTGTGAATTTGACTTGGTTTACTGCATGCATGATGCATTACGTGGCTATATAATGAGCGCCGACAAACATATCTTCATTTGAGCTCGAGTCATTTTTGAGCGAAAAGATTTTATTGGTCGCACGAGCGGTAAATCTAGCAACTATCTTAAAAACAAGAGGGAATCCGTTTTGAAGGAAAGCCTGACTTACAGGAACTTTCGATCATTTCAAGTTACACGTTGAAGAAAAAAAATTGTTGGTGCTTTTTTCGACGTGCGTAGTTATTTCCTCTGTGCTGCAATTACTAGTATGTTTTTTGTCAACATTATTGCTTTGCAATAATGGCAAATTTGTCAACGTTTGACAAATTTGTATAATGATGTATGTTTGTTTGAAATAGTGCTTGACAATATTACAGTCAACATTGGCTGGCGAGAATGCGTCTAGATGTTGATGTACCAATATTGCCTAGAAATATTATCCCATGCACATCATTGCAGGGTAGGTCGAGTTGAGGTCTCAGTTCCCTCATTTATTAGTTCTCATCTGAATTACACAGACATCTACACTGTCATGCTACGGAAAAGCGTCGTAGGAGCTTTCAGGCGTTGCCAAATTTTCTACAATAAAAATAATTCTGGAACAGGGTAATATTTTTCCTCAAAATTCTAAGGGAATATTATTCGCATATTTGATTTCACAGTTCAGATAATTTCAAGGGATGACATTCATAACTTACAAATTTAGCGTTTCTTAAATTTTTACACGACTTTTATCACAGGGGCAGCAAAATAGGTCCTTTCAAATGCATTTTGATGGCTAAAATGCGAGACCATGCACACGTATCCGTTTGCGACGTTGTGAACTTACGGTCATATTTAATTTTTTCCTCGGAAACCTAGTCAACGTGATTGCTTGCAAACTTCATTGACTTTTCTTCTCTGTTAGTAGAATATTTCTGTATGAATTTCAAGCTAGTATAAGTTGACTTGTTTCCCTTCGATAAGTTAACAATGGGCGGAGATTTTGAGACACCGCAATTCCGACGCGCTAAGGAAGTACGCCGTATGAACATTCGACCCGAATTTCCTCCGATAAAGTGTTAGTTTTTAGGAAAGTTATGAATATTTTCACTTAAATTTTCAGGAACTTTCGGTGAAATTGTGTGCAAAATTATCTAAAAATCAAAAGGAAAATATTCGCGAGTTATCCTGAAAATTAGTGAGTTGTCTAAGGAAATTTGGCGACGCCTGAAGGCTCAAACGGCGTTTTTCCTCGGCGCGGCAGAATGGAGACACGGGAGATCGCACTTTAGCCTTTGATTTAGCAGTCAATTTTAGGCGTGGAACTGCAGGAAAAAACTTTCAGGGAGGGCACAATCACACACAAAAAAAACACATTGTATCTAGAGTCCAGACTCTTGAGAACATTGACAAGAAAAAGGACTCTTGATTCTATCAAATGTAAGCTTAAATCAAGAACCAAGCCTCTTAATTTGAGTGGATTTCCTTTTTCTTGTCAATGTTTTCAAGAGTCTGGACTCTAGATCCAATGTGTTTTTTTCCAGAGATTGTGCCCTCCCTGAAAGTTTTTTCCTGCAGTTCCACGCCTAAAACTGACTTCTAAATCAATGGCGAAAGTGCGATCTCACGTATCTCCATTCTGCCGTGCTGAGGAAAAACGCCATATGAGCTTTCAGGCGTTGCCAAATTTCCTTAGACAACTCACTAATTTTCAGGAAAACTCGTGAATCAAGAGTATTTTTTCTCGTCGATGTTTTTAAGAGTCTGAACTCTAGATTCATTGTGTTTTTTTTCCAGGGTTAAGAGTGAGTTATGACCTACCTCTAATTTTTGGGAGTATTCCTCGGCTAGCCGTTCATTGTAGCGACTTAATTCCTCGTTCTTTTCGAGCAGAGCTTTCCCGAGCTCTGCCGCCAAGATGAGATCCTTCTCTTTTTGCTGAAGTTGAGCGTAAACGTCCTCGGGGTCGACGCTGGGTTCGAGACTCCGGGACTCGACATCGTAAATGTAATCCTCCAGCTCGTATTTTGGCTTCATTTTGTCTCTATGCATCATCCCCGAAAAGCGGTTATGGTTATCAACCACGTGCGTCATCAATCCCACTATCACCACATCACGAACAACAAATCCTTCGAGCCTTCGAGGCCCCGATCGATGAGCTCAAGGCGACCGAACGGAAACCTAAAAACAACAGGTCTTCACCATGATCAAAGAGCCTCCCCGAAAAGTAACTGCGAACCACCGAGAAAATAAATTATTCATGTAAAGGCCATGTAAACACAAAAACAAAACAAAACCAACGAACCAACAACCTGTCTGCAACGGCAGGGGTATCACATAAAAAGAGCACTTCAAAAATGAGTATCACAAAATGTTGTTTTGAGAATTTCGAGCTGTCAACGCGTAAATCAGTATTTTATTAGTGGGTGAAGTCGCACGAAAAACACGGTAAGTAGACACTTTAGGTAAATTCGACGAGACGCGTTGAATCTCGCGAGTAGGGCGGCAATATCACGGGGGTAAATTATCACAGGGGTGAGGAAACACGTTGCGTATAATCCAGGAACAATTGAGTACAGGTGAACAACTTTTTCACTGTTTTAAGGCAAATTTGGCGAAAGTCCGCACGGAGAACGCAACGCACCGATGTTGAGTCCTGAGTAACCACAGTAACAATGCAAGGTGTGTTATCAATGAACAGCGTAGCGAAGGTAAACAAAACCAGCGCGCCGTAGCGAGGGAACACGGAGGCTATAGTGCAGAACGCTAGCCGGCAGAGCGCGGCACTGACAGCATTTTCGATCGGCGAGGTGAGCGTAAGGGCGTTGCAGTGTCTATGCGGGGAAATTATAGACAGGAATAATCGTCGCCCAGAACTACGGAAAGTACAATGACTTCGCTCGGATGTGATTTCATGGTAAAATAGTTCTTGAGGAGGTTTTTCCCACGCTGCAGCACTTAAATATTGATGACTAAAGTTGAAAAATACGTTTCTTAACAGAAGCGTCTGAGAATGTCCGATATGATAATGTTCGATAGAAAGAAGCTAGAAAAAAGCCATCAGAAGTGGTTAAAGTTATTAAAAATCAAGTTAACTAGATATGAGAACGTGGTCAAAATTTTCCTATACTTAGGAGTTCAATTATGTCAGATTTGCACATATTAAACACGGAAAAAACGGGTTTAGATTTGGGACCTACACGTTAGTGCTGGACACTAACGAGGGTTAGGTCAAATGGAGCCACCAAGTCAGAGTAGTGCTGGGCACTAAACAGTTCGAGGCTGGGTCACTAAGGAAACAGTAGTGTCCAACCCTACAGTGATTTTGGCGAGCGTAAAATATGAAATGCCTCTGAGAGAGATCGATCCCGGGTTGCACTGTTGGTAGACCAGCGCGTTACCATCAAGCTATTGCGGATAACAAAGTATGTGGGCGAATTTACACCTGTTAAGCGCAACTGCGTCTCGCGGCATCTGATTGGCACTACTGGTGTTTAGTGCCGATCTCTACTGCCTTCCTGTGTTGAGCTGTACAGCGCTTAGACGCCAGCCCTCAACTGCTCCCCACTAAACGGCCAGTAGTGCTCAACACTAATCTTGTTTTTTCCGTGAAGAAGAGGCACATGGATGATGAAACAAAAAAACAGGTTGGTGCTTCTGATCACCAATCAATGATTTGTTTCATCACATTCGAGTGATTTTCCTTTTATAGAGGTTAATTTACGTTGAATTCAAATGAGAGAAAGTTATGGAAATAGCATGATTGTCTCAGCATTCTTTGCCGACATGCAGCTGAATAATTTTACATGATTAGCCCAGTTTTCCCTCAAACAGTATTTACAACCCCTTTTTTGCATTACCTCTACCACATACAAAGCTGTTTCAGCCTGATAGAGTAGGTACATGCTGAGTTGTTTGTGGAAAAATGTACGGTTTAAAATCCAGTACCTAAAACAAACGCTGTTTCCTCAAAATATACGAGTTTCGATTACATCGTAAAGTATCCTGGTAATTTTAATTCTTGCAAAGAAATTATGCTAGATAGCCACAAATCTGTTCAGTTGAATTCAGTACAGTCGCAGCTCTAATTTAAACCCAAGTCTGTTGAAATTGAATCAAAATGCAGGAATCGTTGCAGGGACCCTAACGCAGCGCAGAAAAGTAAGCGCACCGACGAACGGGAGTCGCTTGACGCATGCAAACATCATTATTTAAAAATTTGATCATGCTAAACTCCACGAGAAATCGTTAAGACGGCAAAATGCAGGAATCACTTTAGAGACTTTAACGCAACGCCAGGAAAGTAAGAAAGTGGGCGTACCGAGCACCGACCCAATTGACCCTTTGCCTGTAACTTCGATTGGCGAAAAACGCGATTTGCAATTTTCATAACATGATACATGTATTTGCATTGCACTTACGTGTTTCGTTTCGAACGGAAAACAATAGTTAGTGCTACCAATAGTTAGTTAGCACCATTAGTTAATGTAAGATCAGTATTATGATATCAGGCAGTCAAGTGACGTAAAATATGTAAATTCTACGAAAATATTCCCAAGTTTTCTTTGGCACTGTTTCTGATCACCCAATACATTCGATACCCTGCAAACATTATTGGAGGAGGGTCTTGATTTAAATAGACGGAATAAAAAACGCCTTCAAATGCATGGGATACAACCGCACATGCAAACTTCCTGGAGGTGAACTGCTACGAAGTAAATATCTGGCATCCACAGGAAAAACGCCGTAGCTCCTATCAAGACTTTACATTTTTCTTGCACACATACAGAGAAAAGCTGATCACTATGTTGCGTCATTTTGTGAATTTGAATTCTCAATGGCATGCCACACTCATCCTAGAATTGAGGGGGATTTAGGATGTTGGTTTTTCGATAATGAAACATTTCGTCGATGAAAAGCTGAACAAATCTAGACTGGAGTTACGGCGCTTTTGCTGAGGACGCACTAGATATGAACTCAATCCATCAGCGTACTTTTGCAACGACTATTGTCAAAAACTTTGTTAGTTTTCCAAAGGATAAATAAAATTAAAAGCTTGATGCTATATTATTCCAAATACTTTTTAAAACACTAAAATCGGAGATGGTAATTATAATATTTAGAAGAACGCAATTAGAGATTGCTCAGAAGTAAGTTTCCTTACTTGTTTCCTCTGTAAATTATACATTATGACTAAAATGAAAGAACATGGGTTTAAATAATAAACGAACTATTTAGGTTTTTTAATTAAAGGCTATGTAAAAATGTTTACGGCCTAGGTATGTATGAGAGCGTTTTGGAAAGGTTGCGAATCCGATTATTGGATATTGCACATTTCATGCTCAATTGTAAATATTTATTAATATTGTAAATATTACAGCTCTCGGGTGAAAATTCAGGCTTTGGTGTTTATTAGTTGTTTCATTACCTTAGGTATCATTACGAAATTAGAATACTGCGTTTTCAAAGTCACATTCGGCAGAGTAGCAAGGTCTTCCCTCTATTCATCGGAGGGGAGCATTTTTATATACGATTTCGTGAGCAAAGGTACGGACACTAAGGAGAATCAAAAAGTAATCTTTCCTAATGCTGCGATTGCTTGTAGTTCTTGCTGCAATGCTTAAACCAATTTTGAATATTTTAGCTTGAATGAAACAAGCTAAAGAACTTCCAAAAATTTCAGAATAACTACAATTTTTGTCTGCTCACGAATAGAAGGGTTGTTAGAATGTTTCTTCGAACTTCTGTAAATTTTTTCAATACATAGAACTGAAAATAAAAGTTTGCCATGCCGCAAACTCTCGTTGAACTACATAATGCTCTTTGCAACGACTCGACTTATGGCATATTTCTTCATTAAGGAATTTGATCCAACTTAGTTAATCATTTATTGGGCAGCATCTATGATTTTTTCATCGGTCTGAGAATTTTGTTTTTTTGACTCCTAGACGGTGGACACGCCTCAGAGGAGAGAATGCAACGAAAATGGAGAGAGAATTCGTATTAGTTATGGACTGAGTATTTATAGAATTCCCAATTCATGGAGGTTGACAAGCATTCACAGTGCCAGTAGAACAATGGATATGAGCTTTGTATAAAGGTCAACAAATATATCTTGATAAAAAAACCGAGTGTCAACACAGTTGAAGATAGCAGAGACTTAATCGGGTTTCTTTTTTAACTTCTATTCCGAACCTGATTGTGAGCGGCACCTCATTGGCAGCATAGGGCGGAGTATTGAGAGTTTACGCCTCAAGCAATGGCGCCCTCAATTTTGCAGATGCAACACGGACACCCATCAAGCATGAATAGTGGTATCTCTGCGCCGTCGTCAACGCGAGATGAGGTATCTCTTATTTTTGGAGTTTGAGAAATGTTAAGGTCAAGGTTGCTCCAGATGTACTGTAATGTACCCAAATAATTATCATTTTAAAAAATTAGAAAAAGAAATAAAAACATATTTAAATGTCTCTCAAACGTCTTAAAGGGCGCACGCCTAAAAATTAGTGCTTCGGCAAGAGTTGTTTCGTGTCAGGATTTTTTTTTTTTTTTTTTTTTTTTAACTACCCCTGGACGTCCCCCTCGATATCCAGTCAAACTGACCGAAAATGGGGAGTTGCATATGGCAGATGAAGAGGGAGGTCACGAAGCGCCAATATTTACCAACCTTGAAAAACAGTATTTCTTACCTTCAAAAAAATTGGAAGAAAAGACCTCAAAACCGATTGAATTAATGTATTCAAAGATCGGTTAAATTGATCTGACTCAGAACTTAGCGCATAAAAAAGTCTTCGGCATTTTAAACACACTTTGAATACTTTTGTGGAAAATTAAGGTGATGTTTCAGTCTTAACTTAAAAAGAGTTATGAGGTTGGAATGAGTTGAAAAGAAGTCAAATTAGCTGATGGAATGATTTTTACTTCATAATTACAAAATTTGGCAACAAATCAAAATCCAAAAATAGGTACGGGAAAACCCAAAGAAAATACATTGATGCGATGAAAACATTTTTATAGGACAGAAAACAATTGGTGAGATTAAAAAGTTTTTAAGACAGAATAACTTATCTGCCTTTTGTGATTGTGAGGAAAAAATTCTATGTACAGGGGGTGAAGTCGATTCACCCATTAACTAGGTACGCACAGATGTAAAATGCTCCTACAGTAAGTACTTACAATATTTACATGAAATTTTTACAGGCTAGGTATTGCAATGGAATTTACTGTACCGCAAGAAAAAATTTTCCTGCGAAAAGTATGGTTGAGGGAATTTCCCGTGGGAAGGAGATATCGATTCGGGAAATTTTAGGACTAAAATTTTTACATAACATTCTTTAAAACGTAAACGTCAGATTTCAAGCATGACAAAAGAGTCTTACAAGTTTTGAGCTTCATTAATTATGGCCGCAGGAATTAAATTCTTGGTCCATTCATTTTTTTGTTTTCATTTTTACGTATATTATTAATTTTAAACATCTTGTGACAGTTGTTGATAATAGCAGTTAGTTGCTCAAAGCTAAGTTCTTGGCAGAGAATTATTAGACGCTAGTGTCAACAAAAAAAAATGAGTAAAGTAAAAACTTGCACGAAAGCCTCGTGGCGTACTTATACTCGATCTCAAAACGTGAAATAAGAATGTGGTATACGTAACGTTAACCAGGAAGAGGGTATACAAAATTGTCAACCTAAGATTACAGGAAAAAATACATAATTTCAAATAGAGAATCTTTAAAACAGGAAAATGCAAACCACGCATGCATACTTAATTCTCTAATAGGTAGCTTACAACTATACACTCATCAAGTGCCTAATATCAGCGAGGAAAAGCCATCTACAGCTGGTAAAACAAAACGAGGAACTTAAAAAATAGTATTTGATTGAATTCGCGGGACCGACTCTTTAACCACGGGGCGTGCTTAACGATAAATCGACTGTCCTGACATTTAAACCAATGGAAGAGGATCGATAAACAGGGTACTCGCAACGAACAATTTAATAATCGATTCTTTTCCATAGCTTTAAATGGGGAAATATCGATAATCGATCATTCATGCCTTGCCACTGATACTACATAATATCGCGAAGTATGAGGGAAGAATCACGAAAAGAGTTACAGGTGAAAAAAGTAAATACTGAATAACATACTTCACTGGTCAATGCGAAAATTGAGTTTCAAATCTTACAACCATAAAGGACGCAATACTCAGCAATTTTTAATTAACCAACGGCTATGTCGAAATGAGTCCATCTGATGGATGGCATGTAACAACTCAAAATAATACTTCAAGGAGAACACATATAAACTTATCAGACTTATCAAACTTCTCTGAGAAAAAAGTACGGGGTTATAAACCGATGGTTTTGGAGAGGTTATCGGAGATTTAGAGCTGCTGCTAAAATGCAAAAAACTACCCTGAGGCCAAAATAATTACATATCTTTCAAGGTAGGATCTCAGAATCTTAATGTTCTTCATTTAGATAATGTTGACTGATAATTGTAGAGACTTGAAATCCCCTGAAATAATTTAATGATCATACAATCAATATTTTTGCTGAAGGGACGAATATTTTCAGTCATACTACCCGCGATGTTTCATTTTTCCCGAAAACTCGAGTTGGTTCCACCTCTCAGACCCAATGAATGACTAATGTTGTGGATTTTTGCTTCATTTACTTCAATCTTCGTAAAGCACCACAATATATCACTCTTGTATCTAAATTCCGGGAGAGTTGCATTCGGAATATATTGAGAATTCAGGACAATACAATTCATACTTCTATGCTTTTAGCAAGGTCAAAAGTATATATACAAAGGAGAGGGAAAATAGTTTAATTTCTCTTTTACAATGATTGATGGATAAGCAATGGTGCTTTTCGTGATGAAAATTTCAAACGTGGAATCTTTATACAAAATATCTCGTAACTCTAGGGGACTTTAAAAAAGGAGGCCAAAATAATGGTGATGACTGAAGGGGCTGTACACAATGAAGACTTTAAAAACTCGGTAGAAAAAGAGTTCAGAAAAAAAAACAAAGAAACATTTTTGTACAAAAATCTCTCAGATTTTTCTTTCAGACGTAATTTACATATCTCTAACGTAGTGGTACAGAGTTTATACAGGTCTATTGTCGCTCTCCACTGAAACAGAAGAAAATTAAAGATGAGAATTAGAATCCAATGATTTTCAAGTACATTAAATGATATACGACAAGGGTCAAAAATAAAACACCCTGTAAGCAGGTACTCTAAAAGTAAATCCAAAAATTGAGAACACATTGTAAAAAAACCTCACATTAGGAAAAAATGCGGAAATGAGGGTGAAAACTGCACATAAGTTTATTATGCCTTTGATTCTTCGTTTAAAAATTACATATTTAGATGAGTTTCGAGTAAAATGGCACTGACTTCATTTCGATCTTCATTCCAATTCAAACAATCAATTCCATTGGGAACAGATTATACTCAAATTTAGGTGTAAGTACATGGACATAGTTGTCGGAATATTTGAGACAAACACACTTGCTGTTACTTGTTACTTTTCTCTCATCAATTGATTAGCAGATTCATTGACCCATTCCTTGAATTCTCTTTTTCTACTGAGAAAAAAAGTTGAATAAATAAAATAGGTCTAGAAACACCCGAGTCACACTAAGACTTGAGTTTTTAATGCGATCAATTTTCTACGTTTTTTCCATAAAATATCTTTGTCAAATAAGAAAAGTGTTTATTCTTCAAATATTTTATTAAGACGTGTTCTTTCAATGATTTTAATCGGAATGAGGGATATGAGCAACACAGTTGGGGCAGTGTACTTACTTTCATGTTGAAAGAAGAATCGACAGGATGATAGAAAGGGGAACTAAAGAGGGCACTATCCGCGTTGACCAACTGGCAACTAATTCTAATTCATTCATTTCTTGGTCCTCGGTAAAATCTGGAACAAAAGATAAAATCAAATGAATATTTTATTCATCCTGAAAGTTACGAGGTACATCCAAGCATGGATTTGGACAAAGTAGGAATTGGCATGTGATGTGCAGTCGGATAATTGTGTTGTTTCCTATTTCTCATTTAAGTCCAAAAAAATCATAAGTATAATAGCAGAGCGGCGTGGAAATAAGTTGCAAAGGATAGTGAAGCGTGAAATTATTAATTTTTAGGATTTTAAAACGAACGATAGATTTGATGAAAAAACGGGAGTGTGACAGATAGGTCTGAGCAAAAGTCATACACATTTATTTTGTACCGCTCTCCATCTTGGATTAGAAGATAGCTCATTCTTTAAGTCTGGTTCGTGAAAAATGTCAAGATAATTTTTTTTCAAGTACGTCAGGTATTTCGGAGGAGTACCTCATAGGGAAACATCTAATGCCTATTCCAACGGATCTAAATTTTGGTTATTTGACAAGTACTATGAATAACGGTTAAAAACCGGAAGTTAAGATTTTTGTTCCCAAATGTTTCGCTGGAATCGATTTGTTACTCTGGCGATGAAATATGTATATCTTACAAGCGCTAACGCCCCTAAAAGCTCTGATCCAATTTTTGCTGTCACAAAAAGAGGTTTTTCCTCTTGAGATGTGGCAGGAATGACCTTACAAAAACGGAAAAAGACTTGCATGGATTTAGAGTTCAGCTACCCAAGTTTACAGTGCATCGAGACATGATTTAAGCACTAAAATGTTTCCATTGTTCAAACCTCCTGCTTTAATACGTCACGAAGAAGCGCTCTAAAATATTGCTTCGTCCTCTTACCAAACCGGTCTCTTAAAAGTTATCAATAGTCGATTTTCAAACAAAATCTTTTTCCAACAAGGAACGAAAGTGTCGGTCGGTAAATTTGGAAAAAAATAAAATATTAAACGTGGCAAGATCTGTAGAGAGAAACCTTCACTTCCGGGAGCGAACTGTCCAGGAGAGCCGAATTTAGGGAAATCGACGATTTTGAGTTCTCAACGCGAAAGGATCTCTAGAAGCCTTGATCGGTGTACGCTACGAGTATTTGTACTCGTAGCTTCATTTCCTCACCGCCAAGGGAGCTAGCTGCTCCTTTCCTGTGCGTATGTCAAAAATCATGATCTTTTAACCTAATAATTTGGTCTAAAACGTCAGAATTTTTGTCTTAAGACCTCAAAATGTCATACCACCCTCATTAGAGTCTTCACGGATACTTGGCGTTAAAATCTCCAAATCTCCTTCCTCTATGCAGTGGCATCAGTATATCAATTTTTAATTTTTGAGGTCCTACTGATCATTTTAATACAAGGCTGCCACAGAATTTAGAGAATTAAATTTCTCGAAATTTTCCTGACACATTTTGGTGAAATTCCCTGACAATTGAAGATATGCCAGATGGTCAGAAGGACATAATTGGAAATAGATTTCAGGCACAATTTGTTGTTCGAAGCGTCAAACCCATTCAAGGAAGCACATAAAAGTAACTTATCGATTTTTCCCTGACATTTCCAGGTGATGCATCCATGAAGAGATGGGGAGATGCCACCTTCCGGAGGATCTCTACCATGACAGATTCCTGTGGAGAATAGGCGTCGCAGAGCGCTCTAGCGCGCCGTAAAAGCGGCTCATACATACATACATTTCCAGGTGATTCCTGCCTTTATAAAATTCCCTGACATTTCCCGGTTCTCCCGGTATTCCCTGACTGTGGTAACCCTGCCTTTTCCACTGATCGCGTCAATGTGGTAAGGAGTTTGAAGTATGGAGATTGAGATTTGGGCTTCGGATGTGACGATCCTAGGATTCCTTGGCAAGTAGGTAAGCGGGGATATCTGGAAGCCGGCGGGCGAACCATCTTCCTTCTAACCATCTGGCATATCCTCAATTGTCAGAGAATTTCACCAAAATGTGCCAGCAGGGTGTCTACTAAAACAGGCTGGCTAAAAATCAGTTCTTTTACAGTACTTTATCAGTTTATTCCCGAGAGTTTCCGTGCCTCCTCAACGGTAAAAATGCAGTACTTTTTCAGTGCCTGCAATTGACGAAATTCGAAAAATTTGAATTTCTCGCTTGAATAATTGCGACAAAAATGACAACTGATTAAAAAAATTCCGGACCTTCTCGCGGGATTTCCGCCCTTTTTCAGTACTTCCGGACCGCCCTTAAAAACTCCGTACTATTTCCGGACTTGTAGACACCCTGGCCAGGGAAATCAGGGAATTTCAATCTCTAAATTCTGTGGCAACCCTGTATTAAGAGGACCTAAACTTCCAAAAATTAAAACTTGAGATACTGCTGCCACTACACAGAGGAAGGAAATGTAATGTGCTAAGGATTTTAAAGTATGGACATTGAGATTTGGGTTTGGGATGTGACGATCCTAGCCTACTTGGCAAGGACGCGGGGATATCTGGGAGTCGGCGGGGGAATCTTGGCGGGAATCTCGGAAGACAGAAGTTTGAGATTTGCCGGTGATTTACGATCTGCCGGTTGCCTTGCTTTTTCGCGCTGGCGCTGGGGGTTTTGTTCCGATCGGAGAAAAACGCCCGACAATGGATCGGGATTCGATCGGACACGAGCCCCGGCCCCGGCCTCGGGTGTTTATTCATGGAGGAATTGGAGTTGCGGGACTCGCCGCCGCAGCCAGTATTTATGGGCCTCCCGAGACGAATCGCCGACTCGGAGGAGACGCTTTAGCTTCTAAGCTGTTCCGACAACTTTACCGCCATCTCGCGGCCGAGCCCCGGCTAAATACTCTCAAGGCGCCTCCGATTCGCTCAACATGTACCTATCGCCCTCTCTCATCGCTTTTCCCCACTTATCGCCCACACCCGAGACCAAGAGAGACCCTCTGTGGTATCTTGGCAATGCTGGTACTTTCGCGACTCCAATTTTGCTGTGTTAAGGGAGAACGTCGTATGAACATTCGAGAGTTACTCTCCTCTCCTTCTCCCCCTTTCCGTCGTCCCTCTGATGTAAGGAAGTATCTCGATTTCCCCATAAGCCTCAGAATGCATGGATTCATATCTAATACACTGCCGTGCTAAGGAAGAACGCCGTATAAACATTCGAGAGTTGCCAAATTTCCCTCGATGAAATGTTCATTTTTAAGGAAATAATGAATATTTTTCCTTTAAATTTTCAGAATCTTCAGGTAAAATTGTAAACTAAATTATCTGAAAAATTGGGAGGAAAATATGCATAAATTTACCAGGAAATTCGCATTTTAAGATAGGAAATTTGGCAACGCCTGAAGGTTCATACGGCGTTTATGCTTAGCATGGCACTGTTCAACTCTTGACCTACCTACTGGACTGATTTGAACCGCGTTAGGCAAAAAGGAACCAAGCCACATCAGCTATTACTGAATTTAACTGGGCAGTTTAATTTTTTACATGCAGACGGTTGCAGGGTCGAATTTGCCCACATGTCGCCAATGGACCGCCTGTATTTTGCCGCCCCCTTCTCATTCGTTTTGAAACATTAATAAAAACCATCAAATGAACGTGCCGGAGGGTAGGGGAGCATAAGACGCGTTTACTCGTGTTGGACACATTTTTTGCGAAAGCCCTGTCAAAATTACTGGCAAAAGTTCACGGAACTTTGCGCAAGAGTTAAGTTCCGTAAACCTATCTCTGCGTAGAAAAGGTCTTCCATTAATGATAAATGAACGAAAAAATGGTGAAAGAACAAACATAAATGCGGTTTAATAGTTTTAACTTCCGTCGCCGCAATGCGCTGACCGCACTGTGTTTGACGCAATGCGTGAAGTATTCATACAGTCTCGTAGGCGCCATGCGTTTCTCGCCGACCGCTACTGCTGATCGCACTGTGATAGACGCAATGCGTGAAGTATTCAAGCAGTCTTGTAGGCGCTAATATGTGTCCCATGCTGACCGTCGCCGCGCCGAGGGCTTCTCCTTTTCACCTCAAGTCCTCGTCATCATTGCTCTCTGCGCCGCGCCGTTCCAGGCCAAATTGTGTGTTTGGTTTCTCTTTTAACTCGACTAATTAAAGGTGCTGTCTCTTGTATCACAGAAAGACAACAAAATTAGAAATCACTTTGCTCACAGGAAATGAGAAATTTTATCGCGTTTTCTCGTTTGTAATTTTTCTTCTAAATCCAAGTTTTATAATACCTACATTTAAGAAAAAGTGTCAAATTTGCCGCCATGGGCAGCAGCCCATGTGGCCACCCACTAAATTCGGCACTGAACGATTGTGAGGATTTTTGAGCAAATGTGAGCGAGTTCTTTGCATAGTACGAAGCAAATTCCTTATTTTTTCAAAGGATTCCGCACAAACAATCTTGTAAAAAATTAAATTGCCCAGTTAAATTTGGCAATGGCTGATGTGGCTTGGTTCCTTTCTGCTAAACGCGTTCCCTTTTTAACAACGTGCGTATGTGTTGAGCATTTCGTTTAGTAAGGGCCGTCCATAAATTACGTAGCGCTCTTGGGGAGGAGGGGTGAGGGGTTGAGTAGAGTGTTACGCCATTTTGTTTTTAAGGGTTAATGGAAGGGAGGGAGGAGTCAAAAATGTCGAAAAGGCGCGTTAAGGAATTTAAGAACGCTCCCCAAACAAGCGCAAGTTTGGTAAAATTGCTTGGCACATTGCATCATCCGAAGCTCATCATAGTAGGCTATAGTAGTTCTGTCCGCGTGATATGCCGAAAAGAGCCGCGAGTACAAAAATGAAGTTTAAGGCCTAGATACACACGGCGATTAATCGCCGCGGGTGAAAGACGAAATCCAATGGAGAGCCTAGATTTCGATATATCGACGTCAGTGGATCGAAATCTAGGCTCTCCATTGGCTTTCGTCTTTCACTCGCGGCGATTAATCGCCGTGTGTATCTAGGCCTTTAAAGAAAAAAGGAGCTTAGTAGCGTCCGAGCGGATGCTCTTATTGAAAGAAGTTTCCGTTGTTCGACAAATTGCCACCAATCATCCGAAAGACTCTTAGAAATAGTTTGGGTGATTTAAAATCAACGAAGTGTATTCTCAACTTAATAAGAAGGGCTTCTTTACATTTTTATGTTAGGGCGGTGTCAGGCAAGCCACGCGAAAGAAATATCTTTTGCGTTGCGTTTTGGTCACACAGCAAACACATTTGAAGGTTAGAACTTGACGGAAAAAGGCACCGTTGTACTTAATAGTGTCACTCTTATTGGCTGGCTCTCTCACGGATCTAATTGGCTCAGCCGTCTTCAGGAAGCTCAAAGGACAGAACAAAATGACGGATGTAACATATAGATGATTCAGCTGGTAGGTGCTCCATATATTAATCTAAATGTATGAACTGTAATGTAAATCGACGATGTAAGTCGGCAGTCACATAACGCAAACTTCCTGTCATACTATATTTTTTAAACGGAAAACTACTCGACGGCAATTCTTTTAAACTGCCGTGATTGTTCGTCTCTGTGCGAAGAAAATTCTGCAAAAACTTCAAGGAATGATGTCAATGATGCCAGGATGTCTACAAAAAAAGGCTGGTCAAAAACAAGTACTTTTAAAGTACTTTTTCAGTTTGTTACCGAGATTTCCAATACCTCCTCCAACAGAAAAATGTTGTCCATGTTTTTTCAGTACCTCCATTTGACGATATTATAGAAAATTTCAAAAATTTGAAATTGCGACAAAAAATTCCGGACCTTTTTGCAGAATTTCCGCACTTTTTCAGTACTTCCGGATCGCCTTTAAAAAATCAGTACTATTTCCGGACTTTCAGAAATTCCGGACTTGTAGACACCCTGGAGGCGGGGATTTTCAGACACCGCATGTGATTGCCGACTTACACCGTGGAAATATAATAAAGAATAACTTAAAATGAGATGATGAAATGAAAGTTGAATACCGTAAGAATCCTCACCAGCTGCGCGGGTGTAAAACTGGAACATCTCAGACACCTCATTCCAGCCGTAGCGATTTTTGGCTTGGACCAGAGCCTCGTACACGGAGCTCGGGTCCAAGTGCTGGATGTTGTACGACATTAGGTGTGTGTTTGGTTCACGGTTCTCGAACGGCGGACTAACGTCCGTCCATTTGCTCGGGTGTTGATAGGATTCGTTCATCTGAAACCAAATTATCACAGCGTTACCACAAACTTTTGACTACTACTAGCAGCTAAGCAAGTTTTAGAACTCAGCTGAAACGTAGATCGATCCACGAACATTTTTTTTACTTCAATGCTTGGTTCGTAATAAAGAAGTTGAGTGACAGTTCGTCATTTCCCAGACTTCTTTCAGATGTGATTCAATTCCAAGGTTGACAAATTGAACGTTGATGAACATTTTGTCACGCGAAAACAACCTCGTAATTTCTACGTATCCAAACTTTTACTGAGTTTTACCTACAATCTGTAGAAACAATGGTGAAATTTGTAATAAAAAAGGTAGAGTAGTTTCGGAAAAAAAAAAAAAAAAAAAAAAAAAAAAAAAAAAAAAAAAAAACGAACTACGAGAGTAAATTTTACAATTTATATATTGAGTTACATCAAATCGTGCGAGAAACAACACGTTCTGGAATATAACGATTAAATTTAATTTGACTTACAGGTTCAATTCCATTCCCTCACCATATAAAAGGCAAGACGTATTTACATGAAAAAGCTGATTAGGCCTTTATCATGACTTTAGAATGATAAAAGTAGACACGTGGTGTAAAGCACGTAACTGATTCCATCTTTATTCCGTTTCTTTTCTTCTATTTGAAAACCTACAAATCCTTTATAGCACGCTTTATAGCACCCCCTCGCGCTCTACGACACCTGACCTCCACTGCCCTCTGTTTAACCACGAAAGCTTAAATTCTTCTCATAATAAGACTACTTTGGGTCTAACCACTAATATAGTGTCCTCTGTTACAGTGTCATTGCAAATTTCTGAGATATGAGACTCCGAGAAATTAAATCTAAGCATGTGATGACTGGATGCGGAAATGAGATAAAACAAAGGTGAGTTTAAAGATGGAAACTTACCAGAACTTTTCGGTACAGTAATCGAACTTCTTCGAGAGGAGGGTAACTTTCAACCAACCACGTTAAATTAAAACTGTCCTTAGACCTTCCTAGAGGCGCGCTTCGGAATACGGCGGGTGATGGTCTCCCTGAAACATTAAGGATTAAATTCAAAACCCGCAACATGCACATCGAATGAGATGTGATACCTCAGTGCCAAGCTGACATCGTGTTCTTACAGTTAAATATACATTTATTCTACACACACTAATATACGATTAACTTAAGGAGAAAAACAAAAAAATGGAATCCAGAATACACACTGATACGCTGAGCTTGACGTTGACGTCCTCCAGGAGCGAGGCGAGAATGATAGATTATCAACATTTCCCCATATGAAGCTATGATAAAGAATCGATTATTAAGGTGTTCGTTGCCAACATTCTGTTTATCGATCCTTTTCCAAATGTTTAAATGGCAGATCAATCGATATATCGCAAAGCACACCACGCCACTGACGTCCTCCCATATCTCGCCACGCTCGGTAGCAAAATTTTAAAGACCCGCACCGACCCCTTTCAGCATTACGTAATATATAAACAGTCTCACACTGTGCTTGGTGCTCGATCATGTGCAAAAAGAATTTTCCGTCGAAACTCGAGCAGAGAACATGTTCAGAATATCAGGCAACGTATAATTTTTCAAGGAAAGAAAAATAATAAGTAGGAGAAGAAAGAGGCGGGATAGGAGGATGGTAAGAAGGAGACATGATTTTGAGGGTAGAAGATATGGAGGAATCCTTTGGTTGTCATACCTGAGAGTTCCATGAATTTTTTATTTTTGCCTAAAGAATTATCTGCGACACAGCTGTAGTTGCCGAAATCTGAGGGTTGGAGTTCTTTGATGGTAAGGATGTGTTTATTTCCACGCGTTTCGACGTAACGCCTTTCGGTTGGTGCCACAAGGAAACTGTCTTGATACCATGTCACCTGCAACAAAATAGAACAAGACGTCATGATGAATATGGAATTTTAACATCGTATTGATGCAAAAATTACAACAGGGGAAGGAAAGACGCCGCCGTTACGCATAATCTTTATTTATTTGCATTTTTCAGGAGAGGAATAATGGGAAAGTACTCGATATCACCGACGATTTTAATATTTAAGCTGATTTATGCCATTATGAAAAGAGTCGGAATATTAAGGTCATCAGATGCACTTTTGCGGTAAATTAAAATATCTACAACTGCAGTTTTACATTGATTTCTACTGCTTCCAAGAGTGTGGTGTATAGAAAGTAAAACAAGCGGAGCTAGAATTTCACGAGTGTAAGAAGTTGCACAGAGGATCTATGTTGTCTTCACTAGATATGAATCGGAAGAAAAAATTGGAGGAGTAACAGAAAAAGACGTCATCGAAACTTATTGAATGAAACAAAAAAAAAAAAGGAAGTTCATTTATCCGGGCGAAGTTACAAAGCCGTTACGCCTGAAAACTTTCAGTTCTTTTGGATTTACGATCTAATCACAATTTCAATTAATTTTTTGCTCGTTCACCCTGTGTAGCCGTTCTTATTCTTTCCATTCCCCCGAAGTTTTCAGACGATAACATCCTTTGAATCGACCTAGTTTTGACATGAACTAAAGGCGCACAGCTCGAGTTCATCTCACAGTTACCCTGCCCCTCCCCCAACTTCCCACTCGCGGAGGAATTTGGGATTATGAAGATACGGTTAAAAGCATTCTGATGCATGCGCTAGCTCGCGCAAAAGGCAAAGTGTACCCGTCCCCCGGCAAGAATGTTAAGGAACGGCGGGGGAGCATAGAGGAACAATAATTGCTTCCAATTATGAAAGACTGCCAACTTGAAACTTACGGCAGAATTTTTGCTCGGCTAAACTCCCAAAAGACTGGTACTTATAAAGTTGAGTTAAAGCGCTATGAGCTTCGCGGAGCTGAAGCCTCTTCATTGGCTGAAACGGGTGCTATTTGCACCACCGTCGCTACGGTGCGTCCTTTGCCAACTTTGGCTCTTGCGACGGCAATGGGTCAATACTGCCGTGTTACTCGAGAGAGCAGCGAGTGCAAAATGAAATTTTTAGAAAATGGACCTGCCGCGGTTCGAGCTAGAGTGCATTTATAGGGAGAGTAGGGACACTGGGCCTCATGAAGCATGAAGGGCTCAGGACCCAAAAATGGCGGCGGTTTGTTATAGATTTTTGAGGATAGGAGGGCGAATCACCGACTTATGACAGTTTCACGATATTCAAGATGATTTTTCTCAAAATAGCACACGATTAGCCGTAAAACTATGTAAATACTCGTACGTCGTAATAATGCTTTTGAGTAAAGTTCTCGTTGCGATATGCAAATAAAACTGCATTTTGACTCATTTTTTATTGACATTTACTTACAACATCCGCCATTTTTGGGCCATAGAAATCCCCATTCAGCTAAGGATGGCTAAGCCAAGTAGAGGGATAACCGCAATGACCATACTCTCCCTATAAAGGTGCTCTGGTTTGAGCGAAAAATTACATTGAATAAATCCTCTGTTCTTTGTCAAATAATCACCAGTCATCCAAAAGACTAAGAAAATAGACGGATGGTTGAAAATCCACGATATTTACCAATAACTATACTACTTGTAAGGGATTGCAATTCATTTCATGGTTAAGCATAGCAACATTATGCGCTATCCTCCGGAAGCTTGTACGATTAAGTTTTTCAAAAACATTAAAGAAATTCGAATTTTTAAAACTGGCAAAAGAGGTTAGGTACCACGTAAATATATGACAGCATTCAGCACAAGCCTCTCCCGGGATAGTGTGGATGTGGAATTGTGGACTGCTGACGGCTGTTTTGTCTGAAATGCAGTGGCGAGGCGACCATGATCGATTATCGATATTTCCCCTTTTGAAGCTGTAGTAAAGGATCGATTATTACAGTTCTCGTTGCAAACACAATGTTTATCGATCCTTTTTGTAGGTTTAAGAGGCGGATCAATCGAAAATCGCAAAGAACGCCACGCAACTACCTAAAATGACGTTCATTTTACTTTTCCGCAACTCTCGTTTTTCACACATATACAAATGGGATCTTGCTGTTTTAGCTGAATCAGTCAATTCAGTAAACAAACTTAAATTCCAAAAAGGGCGTTACTGCATCAGTGATATCACGGCAGAATGGAGAACGCAGAGCAGCTTAGACAAAGGGCCCGAGAAATCAGGTGAATATTCCACAGAAAACCGAGGATTCTAATTCCGTTGTCATGAAGGAATCTGGGTGCCTCCTGCGTGTTTGCGTGAGTTTACGACTGAAAATATTCCCCGCCGAAGCAATAAAAACCGCAGATTAGATACCACACGCGCCATTCTGAATTCCAAGCGGACACAATACTTTTCAATCTCTGATTCGTTTAATTACTCAAGTTTTTCTCAAATCCAACTTTATTGCGCCACCTTTTTACGGGGCAAGTTCGGTTTATTCGGTCATAAAAATTCAATTTAAAGTGTTTGTCTTCCACCTTGGCTTCTGTTTTCAACCGCTCAGAGTCGTTCTCGAGTCATTTTTCCCGTCAAACAGTTCAAGCACTCGTAGCTTCTAGAATTGCGGTTGAACAACACGGTTAACTAAGTCGGTTTCCTGAATTAAGTGCATTTCTCTATTATCTTTAAAAATCTCGGATTTTTCTATCCTAACTTTTAAAAAAAGAGTTGGTGATGTAGCCAACAAGCGTTACAGTTCGGTATAAAGCTGGAAATCTCAATGCAGAGGACAGAAGCTCATTCGAGCACAATTTTCCCCTAAAGTGTTATGCTGTTCGTTGCAACACTATAGTTAAGAGTCACTAGCTACCAAACAGCATATCTCTTTGAAGGAAAATTATGCTTGAATGAGCTCTTTCCCTCTGTACTGAGATTTCCGTTTGATGTTTGGCAACGCTCGTGCGTTGATCCGCAATCAGTTTGTAACTTTTTAACGGTTGCACTATGAAAGTAAATGTAACGAAAAATTGCAATGAATTACTTTATTTTTTCTTACTTTCAGATTAAATCGCATCGAACCGGAGGACAAGTCATGTTATCGGGGAAAACCAGACTGGATCGACTGGATCGTTGGGAGCACTAATGAAAAGAGATCTGGGCTATCTGGAAGCTGGCGAAAAACAGGGAGTCGGCGATGTTAACTTGAGGGATGGACTTTGAAACTACTTCCGTCATCTTTCATGCATGATGAGAAACGGAACAATAGCATAAAGCAAGGCTTCCGGAGAACATTGCGCCGTGATCGTGCGTCCGAGCTTCGTCGTGTCCCTTCATTCGCTCTGCATTCTTATTTCCAACCAGCTTCACTAAAAGCTCAGTTGCCGTATTCGCAAAAAAAAGCAGCCGCTCGTGCAGAAACAACATATTTTAGAGACGCTGCACAGACAATTTAAGCAATGGATCGTGTTCGATAGTGGTTCGATGTGTCGTTTGGTTCAAAACATTAGAGCATAAACTCAAACAAAAATTTTAGGATTTAAGTTGGAAAAGCTGAAAATGAGAAAATTCCTTGCAATTTCACTTTTCATTGCCATTTTTTGTACTGACAAGAATAAAAAATCTACCACGAAAAACCAGTAACTTCAGATTACTTAATTGACTTTTGAGGCTACGTTTACACGTTGAACCGATCGATCAATATCGATACAATTTCACATTCTTGATGTATCGAATACGATCTATGTGATCAGGAAAGGCAGAATGTTTGTAGGTATGAGGGTTGATACTTTGCTTGGGGAGTTTTTGTAAATTCTCATGTTCATTAATTTTCTACTGTTAAAAATTCAAAGTCAAAAAATAAACTTAGAACGTGAGAAGCGTACTGATACTTCATCTTTAATTTTGACCATTATTGTGAAGATGAGTAAAATCTCAAACCACTTTTTCTCGGTTGAGTAATTGATCCATAACTTAGTGCGTTTCTATTAAAAACGGTCTGTAAGTTAGTAGCCCTAATCTATTCCAATAACACCTTATTTCCAAAACTTCCAAGATCCACTTCTTTCATTGAAACACGTCCGAGTCGAAGTTCAACTTCGGGCATTGTACATCTCGCACGGGTACTTTCAAGCAAACCGGCAACCATGCTGGAAGACAAACAGTCTCAGAGTCAATTCGGTGGAGTCGCGGAAAGCAAACTTTTTCGGTGGCAAAATAAGAGTAAGACCCGGTGACGGATGCGAGACAGGGGGAGGGCGGGGCGGGGGTGGGGTGGGGTGCAATATATTTTCAATTACATCAACGAAAGCCGGGAGTCGGTGGCGGACATGACTCACAATTAAGTTGTGTAAGAGTAATCCGAGGAAGAGGGAAGCTGCATTCTGGCCCGCCGTCTTTGTTTTAATACACGGTCACGTTCGGGGGGCCACCGAGGGGGGTGGGGGGGGGTCTCAAAAGCGGGAGAATGGGGCCTGCGGCCGAAACGCCGAGCAGGCTCCTGCAGGGTTTATGAAAGACACTGCTGCCCACGTTGTTGCCTAGCTACCGGGCGAAACCGCAGGTCTCTCCGTCCGATTGGTTATTACCCGCTGTGGCGTGGTGCCCCCGAAATGGATGAACCTTCCGACTCGGCTGAGATGCGGGAACGAAAAATGCTGGTATTTGCGTTGGATGTCTTTATTGACTCCATCCCGTCGTTTCATTTGATGATCTCAAAAAGGAAAATAGCCTCAGAATCGGAACAGAGCACAGGGTGTTTAGATTCATTTCACTCGGGAAAATCCTGATTTTTTCCGATTTTTGACTGCTAAATCCTGATTTCATAACTTTTTAAAATCCTGATCGAATCCTGATTTTTCTGAATTTGAATTTCGGCGAATGTAACTTCAACAAAATTAGCTCAATAAAAAAATCCGATCGGACGGCTGACTTTTCTCAAATTCTGATATTACGACCGACTTTTCCTCAAATCCTGATGAAATCGGGATTAAATCCTGATGCT